TTATAGATCTATATCAGTTGGATCAATTTCAAGCCAAAGGGGTAATTTATGCCCTTTATATCCTCTTTAGAACAATGTTGCACCTGCTAAGCAAACACTCCCTGAGGTAATAGCCACATAAAAACACAGGTTTATTGTGTTGGTAAAAGTATCCCAACAGAGTAAATGTCTTTGTGTTAGAGAAGTAGTCCAGGGAGGCACCGCCCTGTGCTTGTAAACAGGGCAGGACACCCCACATGCCCCCGGAGCACAAACAAATATCTGTTACTACTGGGTATGGCATTGGACTAGACTACACCCGCACATTTAGGAGTCTGATATATCAGTTCTGACAATAGGCCTGGTCTTACTTTGTTAAATAGATGAACATTACTGGAAATTTGTACTTGAGTACAAGTTACGTAAACCAAAAAAAAATTATCCCATGACTTCAGATAACTTTCTTTAATTCATGTCAGTATTACATTTACTGTAGCTCATTTATGTTTTGTGTATGAACAGGGTTATCTTTGACTAAAATATTTATTTTAGTTATGCTAAATGTATTACAGATGACTTGATATACATTGTTACATTGACAATTTCTGAGCCAATATTTATAATAGAATTCATCATTCCTCATTTCTTCCTTTGACCTTCCTTATGAATCGACATAGCTCATCTTGCCACAAAGAGCCCCCTGCCCTCCAGAGACCCTCGCTGTCAGTGCTGTTACTGTAACCTAATCAGCTCTACGGAGCAGCGAGTCGTGTGCAGAGGAAGTGGCACACAAGACAAACCTGTCTCTCAGTCTTCCTGCCATTTACAGATCCATGCACCAGAGGGCAATACTCACTGATATATGCATAGAGTACTGCGAAGGAATACGCTTTTAACAGAAACCACCAGTGTCAGGGGAAAACAGCTTTTTCATTTGTGTCTTATTGACCTGGAGGTTTGTATGGCATCATTACACTCTGAAAATAAACTCAACCATATCCTTAGAACAATGTCACTTCAGTCTGCATAAGGAGTGTGGGGATTTGATACTAATGGATCTAATATTTATTTATTTTATATATAATAATATAAACTTTAAGTGAATGTTTGTTAATGATATTCAGCGATATGTTGTGTAGAAGATGATTCAACAGATGATGTCATTATTAATGCATCCCAATTAAGACCAAACCTAATATATATATCTTTTAGTAGAATCTTTGTTGATTCAGAATCAGAGAGATTTTGATCAACAAATAAAACACAATTACAAATCTACTTCATGATGGATTATTATCATGACTATACCGCTAAAAATGAAACTAATTTCCAATTTCAAATAATTTGGGCCCCTAGTTTGGGATTTACAACCAAAATTCTGTCAACCCCAACCTTCAGAGCTGTCACATAATTTTTGTAATGCCAGAATAAATCAGCATTTACTTTAAAAACATTGAATAAAATATGTTTACACAGATGTCTGTATCATTCAGTAACCTTTTGCAAGACAAACACATTCTTAGGCCACTTCCTCCAGTCCAGTCCTGGGTCTGCTGCAGGCCTTTAGAATTCCCTCGAAGTTCATGGATGTGATTTGGATTTGGTCCACTTTTCCACCACAAATTTCAGTACCCCACTTAAGAGCTGGAACAATATACTATGTTGTCTAGCTATCTCACTACAATAATCATACTGCTATTTCAATTTTAGCTTTTCTTTTTGGGTTGACAGTTGTAAGTTCAAAGGTCAACATTTCTGTATCTGGGTGGAATGTCTTTCCTCAACAAAGGCAGTAGAAAGTTGGAAACCATAGGAACCTGTCCCTATTGGGAAGGGTGTACTTTCGGCAAACATGATTGAAATAGTTAGGGATTTACATATCCCTGTGCTCATTAGTGGTATTGAGTGACTGGATGAATAACAAACACAGACTGAGTGGGTTTGGAGAGCTCAAAGCGCCCGGCTGGACTGGTGCCGATTGTTGGGCCCAGAGTGAACGGTCCTGGGGCAGCTACAAAGGCAGCCTCCCTCAACCCCTGTGTTGGCTTTGGACCTCCAGTTCCTTCCTGTTCATGGAAATTCATCCACAAACGAAACATGCTGCATACAGAGCCAGCAGAGAGACAGGGAAGTTGGACTGTGTTGACTCACGATCGCTGACAATGCAATTGAGCATTTTTCAGCTGGGGTCATATCTGGAACAATTAGCAAGAGATGAGAGGAGCTCTGGAGGAGAGAAGGTTAGGCTGTAAGGAAACATCAAAGTAATGTGACCATGGTGATCACTGTGAGGTTATACTGACCTCTGCTGGACGCAAATACTTTAGTGTCTCTACGCATGCAAAAATGGATTACACTGTTGCTACTTGTTATGATTAAAGAAATTATTCACAATATGCTCCATAAATTAACTATCATTTTTAGGAAATACATTTTGACTTAAAATCTTTTTAATGGAAAATGATTGGCAAAATATTTACTACAGCTTACTTAGTGCAACATTTGTTAGGTCCATGCAACATAAGTAATTACAATAAACAAGGCATTAAACACGTTTTGATGTGTTTAATGTGTCAGACATAATTATTGTGAGAGTGCAAAAAATGCTGGCAAAAGTATTTCAGTTGAAAGCATATTTTCAATTTACCACTAGATGGTACTACAGCTGTTGGAATTCAGTTCAAATCTACTTCCATTTGAGAAAATGGGCCTAAACGTTGCATTGGTGTCTCTCCTTCTGTTTTGGTTAATGGCAAAGTGCCCCTGAAAAAGCTGCATTCTATTTCATTAGTGCCATGTGTGAAGTAAATTGTTGTAAAAATGTAGAGTATGAGAAATGGGGTCATTAGTCTGTATCAGAGAGTGGCTTTACCCTCCAAGAGTGGCTTTACCCTCCAAGAGAGTCAGAACCTGCAGCTTGACTGAGGGGAAGAAGCACCAGGCAGGGGTGCAACAGCTGGAAGTTCTATAGTGAGAAAATAAATAAATTAATTAATAATAAATAAAGAACTGTAATGATTGTCATATTAGTGTTGCCCCATTAATTCAAAGCAGCATTTCTGTAAAACTATTTGCCAATCGTCTGCCTTCTGAGGCATAAGGAGAAGAAGAAAAAGAGACATACTAGTATTCCTGTGTCCTGAGCACAGGTGTCAGACTCTCCTATATTTCACCATTGGCTCCTGGAAAACACACATCACACACACACCATTATGACAATGGTCTGTTGTCTGATTGTATTCTATTATTGTTTATTTGTATTTGTACTCAATGGGTGCAGCAAAAGTAGCACAAGACTCCCAGTTTCACAGACCCCAGCGTCCCCAGTTTCTTACTTACTATTTGAAGACAACCTGGCTCCATGTAGTGTAGCCCAAACCTTTAATGTCCACCTTCAAGGCCAGATAGTTTTCTCCTATAGTCACCCGCAGGGAAGAGACATTCAGGTCAGTGATGAGAGCAGGGTCAAAAAAGCTGTCTGTGAAAGGCTGTCTGTGAAAGGCTGGAGCTCAGTGTCTGTGAAAGGTTGTTTAGGATGCTAAACCGAATTTCACATGGCTACTGTGCTAGACCGAAGCACATCAAAGAAATAGGCTGAAAATCATACACCTACAAATGAATGACTAACCTGAAATCTACAAGCTTTATGCTGCTTCTGATCTATTTGTTTAGATTGAATTAGCAGTTTAAACACTTTACCTGATATCTGTGATCTGTAAGGGTTAGGGTTAGTAAAAAGTTTGGTATTGTCTCTAATGCAAATAATGTTTTTGCATACAAGATAAATAAATGAAACATGAACTGTGCATGCACAGTAGGCTACCATATCAAAACCATTTTACATGATATCAGTGACGATGGGTGTTGATTATTCTGTGTTTTAAATGATTTATGATCTATTTATGATTATGTATTTTAACCACTTATCCCATCGGAGACATGTGGATGGAAATCACGTGAGGGTCCTCTTGGTAGAGCCTTTGGAGAAGGGTCCTCTGGATGCAGGTCTGCAGCTAGATCCCTCTCATGGAGTTTCATATCTTTTAATTTGGAGGAGCATCATTGATGCCATCTCATGCAATTTTCAAATCACTCTTAATGTAACTTTTTTCCCCCATTGTACTTTTAAAATGTTTAGTCAACATGACTAAAACATTACCCAAAGTTCTTACTCATGACCCAGTATTCTTAGTCAGTTCTGTGAGGTAACTGTAGGACTTGTAGTTTGTCCTTAAATTGAAGTGACTGGTTATGCAGTCAATGTAAGCTGTGTTTCTCTCTCCATCTCTACTCACTGTTTTCATGGTTTTATGTCAATAAAAGGATCAAAGGAAGCCAATTGACTCACTGTCAGTCCGGTGTCCATGTGTGACTTAGTATCTGTCAGGGAAAAGAAATCACTCTATCTTTCAAACTCTGGTGTTATGTCTACGCCTGGACCAAAACCACATCTGCTGAGAGGAACCGAGGCAAGCATCTCGTGCTGGCAGAAAATCAATTTGATGTGACACAAATCTGAGTGTAGATAGTGGAGCCGTCTCTGTCCCAAAGACATTTTATTTTGCGCACTGTACACAAAATGAATGGGACAGCTGCATCTCATGTCCACTGCTTTACTAATCCACTGTCACGGTCTTTTGTCCTGTGTGTTGATGGGAATATAATATTTCACAAAGTTGGAGAGCTATTATCTTGTAAGTGTTTATGCAAGCATATATCAAAGCAATAAATAAATGAGTAGTTTGTTTTACAGTAACAAGAACAATGCACACAACACACTATATATGTACTGTATATGCATCAGAGTAATGAAAGAAGCAATGAGAAACAAGTGAAAATAAAATGCATAAAATAAAACAGGAGCTGCATAAAGGTGTTACAAAGTCATTTTCTAAGTTAGTGGCCCATTTTCATTTTTACATATTATACGGCAGTCTCTGTATTTGGGAGAATTGTGAATGGATAAAACCATAATAGAAAGTGTCACAAAGAGTAATGGATATCACACACAGGTCCCAGGTCTATGCAGTGGCTCCACACAGTCTCCCACTGGAGGACACTTCTGAGGAGTCTTCTGAGCGCCCGGGCACCATGAAAGGCCAGGTCTGCTGAAACACAAAATATCAAACTTGAATGAACACATCCTTTAACAAATTTAACTAAGCATATTCAAAATTCAGCCAGCTCACAGTGTAGTATGGTATTTAGAATATTGTTGACTGATTATTGTTTGACCTGCTGTAGGTTGTTCACCTGTATGCACCATTAAGTACAAATGTATTTGTCTGCATTGTGTTCTATATCTCTTGAGTCACCTGTGTGCAGTGTGCTGTCCATACCAGAGTGACTGGATGAGGGAAGCTGTCCATGCGCTCCTCCTGCAGCAGCTGGCGGAGGTGGCAGATGTAGCTAGAGGCCAGGCGCAGCGTGTCCAGTTTGGACAGTTTGGTGTCAGCAGGAACCCAGGGCAGACTAGTCTTGAGTCTGGAAAAGGCTTTGCTTAGCACTCTCATCCGTGCTCTCTCTCTGGCGTTAGCTGCATTTCTCTGTGTCTGCCGTGAGTCCTTGTGTGTGTGAGCCTTGGCCGCTCTGTGCTCCTCCCTGACCTCCTCCAGGTGTTGAGTGGAGCACCTGTTGTAGCAGATGCCTTTTCTCGTGCTTTTGTCCAGAGCTGTGGCTATTCTTCTGTGCCGTGTGCCGTAGTCCTCCGTGTCACTTCCACCTGTAGACATGCTGCTTGAACTCCCAAAAAATACAATACAAATCAATTAAACTATATTTAAACTATACTTAATTACTTAATAAACTCTTAAAATTATGAAGCAGGTAAGATTCACAAATGTACTGCTAAGTGCTCATTGTTTAAGGGATACATCAGCAATCAACTTTAGTAAGTCACATCTTCAGTACATGTATCACCAAATACCCTTTTGCTGTGCAACCCCTCCAATTTAAGCACCAGGACTTGGCATCAGTATGCAGTTTGAGTATTTCTCCTCCCCTTTTTGGAGCTACCATGACCTCACTCTGGGTCTCCTGTGAAAGTGGTTCAAGGGCAACTTTGCTTTATACATCAACCATCTCCAAATCACACTAAGCCTCATTCAAATATATATTTTGTCCCATCTCCATAAGTGCAGCTATCATGCAATTTTATCTGGGTAAAGTGGTTGCCAATTAGCTGCCTTGTTTGTAAATAAACACATAGTCATAAACCTGTCTTTCACTGGTGCAGCACAGATGTGTAGCTAATAGAAATGTCTTGAGGACCTTATCAAAAGTGCCTAATCCTGCGCTGGTTTCACAGAGGGATTGGGTTTCTGCACATGGAGCGGCGTTTCACACGCAGCCTCCGTCCACGGGCCACAGCTGTTGGAGGTTCCCATGACATCTGGTGCACTGGCATGGCGAGGGGGTGGCAGAGGAGCCATCCTGAGGCGGAGTGAGCCCAGGCTCTACTTGTTGTTCTATCTAATTCACATTTGACAATGATCATCTATAGTGGTTAGTGGACCTTAGCATAGTAAATTCAAGTGCCAGGTACAGGAGGAGGTCTGTCACTGGACCTTGAGGATTTAGAAAGGCCAATGAGGCAACCTGGTAGAACATAAGGCATAAGACAAGGAAGGTGTACTTGGCTTGTATTGTCATTGTTTGTGTTTTTTTTAATCAAGTAAGGCATCTGCTTTTAGTTCATCAATTATCTGTTGCATATTTAATCTGGCCAGCACTTTAAATTAGAAAATGTACCATTATATTGTTGATGCTTCCCATTCCCAATTTAACTAAACATAGCCACTATGTTAGTTGCTAACTAACGGGGATCCAAGTGATCATTGTATTATAGGCTATTGTACATTCACATGCTTGTGTATTTCTGCATTGTGGGACACTGTGCAGCGCTATTATCCCTGGAATCCATATCTATCATACAGTGTACCTATGACAGGCAGCTCACAGGGCTCAAACTTCACCAGACCTAATCCAGGACCACATTCCTGTGATACACTTGCACCCAAATTTTATGCACTTTTCACGCAGACACCTGACATCAGACGGACTGCTGCTCCCAGCTAAAGCTGCAGGCATGGTTAAAGTTTTATATACAGCATATGACATGATGAAGCCACAGGATGTGTCAGTGAGTCAAAGTCTTCACTGTTATTCTACTGCAGCACTCTTATTCTATGCTGTTTACAAAACACCAGTAAAGGAAGTTCTCACCTTCTCTTTTCAAAAAATAATGTTAATTAAGAAGTTAGAAACAATTTTGTTTTTTTCGTTACATTTATTTTGTTGTAATGAATGTATTATGCACTCCATAGAGAGGGTGCTTTTACCTAATCTTAATACACATGTACTTGATAGATGACAATGTTGCTGGCATTAAGACTCGGGCCAGTAGTAATACATTTCACTTTAAACTGCACTTGAAGGCAACACTAGAATCTGTCCATCAGCGCTGACTTTCAGTGGTCATGACCTCCATCAGGGTCCAAGATGTAGAGCAACAGCTGCAGGCGCATAACTTAAGGGGTTTTCTATGCAAAATATGTATGTTATACTTGATATTACATACATTATACTTTACTTTACTTTATGTTTCATGTCATTTTATTTATTTTTAGTATAATAAGGGTACAGAGTAATATAAGAATGTCAATAAAACATCAAGACGCAAACCATTTATGAACTACTTACAATGACACAACCTTACTAAAGAGTTACTTTAGCCTTGTCATCAGCATATATGCATAGATTTTGATCCAAATAACATGCATTAATTCAGTCTATATTAGCATATACCATTAGTAGTACTTAATTGTACTTGGATAATATAATCATTAAATTAAACACAACATTAGAAGGCTATAAAGTTTTTAGTCACATTGCACACTTAAAATGATTACATGATTTTAGATAACGTTAGTTGTTTTTCCTGGCCTCTATAGCTTTCAGGAGGGACACCCAGCGAGACTCAGTCTGGGTCTTGGGTTTGCACTGGCTCAGGGCTGGCCACAGACTGCTGTCTTTGAGATGCATGGGGCCATCGTACTCTTCAGCTTCAGAACTGATCTCCATTTTCTGAATTATGAGCTTCAAGAGGTTGTGCTGCTTCTCAAGATGGCTAGTCATTTCCTTCATTCTGTAGAAAATCGCACATGGCTTAATTCATCAAGTGAATTTAACAGTACGGATAGTGTAGTGTGCAACAATGTCCACTAGGAGGTGCTAATGTATCACACACCACACATAGATCACTGGGACACTACAATGAAGTGTTTTTACCTGTACTTCTGCTTTTTGAGCTCATTCTCAATCAGTGTGCAAGACTGCGATTTGACCTGCATTCGACTCCACACTACTTTATCATCTTCACCCCATAAAATTGCCTTCCAGAAAGCCTTGAATCAAGTAATATTTCATTAGAAACATTAAAAATAACAATATATAGAGGCTATGATTAGGTCAAACTAGCAACATCCATAGCCTCACAGACATGGTTATCACATACAACAAATCTAAGCTTACACTACATGTTATAATTTTCTTATTATTACATGGTTTGGTGGGATAGCACTGGAGGTAAATATTTCTCATAGTTTTACATAATACGGGAAATAGTGGTGAGTTCTAAAATGAAATATATAAATAATTATTTAATATGAATAGATGACTCATATTATGCTATTTATTTTTATTGTGCTGATCTATATTATTATTATTTTGTTACCTCTGTAAAAGCATCCTGGAAGTGTGTTTTGTTTCATTCACCATGTTTAATAACCAAATCCTGCATAATTTGGTTCTTCTCTCAAATGGAAAAGACTCCACATTGTGATGTCATGTGGTAATACCAGAAGTGTGCAATTGTGTTTTTAAACTCCATAGACCTTTGCTAGAGTCATTTGGATCATTTCAGCCCTGGAATTGTGATTCTCTACTGAACGTACTGAAAGGTAAAAGGTAGCTGTTAACTTGAAAACTACCGCAACATGACATATCAAGGTAGAACAGAGCATTTTAAGCTTTGGAGATGTGGACAGACTATTGAATCAGGATAACTCAAAAATGTGTGAATGAAACAAAACTCCAGGTATGTTTTTGAGGAGGTAACGACATTATAACACATCTTAAATCTCACAAGAATCCATTTTGTGTATTAAAGAACCTTTAAGTATGTTTTAGTGATGTGAATAGTCTAACGTTGCATATACACTTCCAGTCTACATTTACCAAAGCCAGATCAACAAATAAGTACAATGACACAGTGTAATAATAAAAGATACTATTACCTTAGGGCACTTGCGGTTGGGGTAAATAGTGGTGGAAGGTTTGTCAACTCGCTTCACAAACCAATAGGGCAACTTATCTTCCAGAGAGGTATGCAAGTCAATCTGCCAAAAAGAACAATTCAATTCAAGTACAGATCGGTATAGAGTACCTTGCACAAAAATTACATGTACTGCACTTTTTTCATATTGTGTATTCTTTACATTTTTGGATTTATTGTGTAGTCTTAAACAGCAAGATGAAAATAAAATCTTTCGCTTTTGTGCTAATGTAATACTCTTGAGATAAACTGCTCAAACCTGCATAGCTATTCTTTTGAGTGCTGCGTTCCTCTGAACCTCTGCAATATCTCCAACAGCCAGACCGATCTAAAAGTCCAAGCCAGATAAAATAATGTCATATTGTTTGGAAAAAATATGAGGTAGCAATTCAGTCCCACTTACCATTAGGTTGACTAGCAGAATTGGCATTAACATAACAAAGCTGATGAAAATGAAATATGTCAGGATACCAAAAGGCAATTCATCTTTCAGGTAAGAATCCAAGAAGTTGTTTTGGTAGTTCAGTTCTCCAACCATCATCACAAAAGTTTGAACAATAGCGAGTGGGACACTATCAAATTCTTTCTAGAGAAAACATAGAACATGTGGTTTGTTTTTTGTTTTTGTGGTTTGTTATTAATATAAAAATATGAAATCTATTTTTTTTCTTTGGGCATGCAAAAAGTACAGTGTTACCAATTAAAAGTAGCCAAGTTGGTAATGTAGAATAGATTTTGAAGATCAGAGATATAGTCTGTAGTTTGTTTTATTTTTTCAGATGAAACATTTAAAGCAGTATGCGTTGTAGTGCAAGGGAAATGTTATAGTGTGGATGTTGAAGGAGTCAGTAGGCTTTAAAACACTGTAGCCCCATGCTAGCTTGTTTTAGAGTAGATGTTTGAATGTTTTATTCTTGTTACTTTATGGTAAAATTTAAATGTAGTTTAAAATTACCTGGTTGAGCATCAGAGCATGAAACGCCAATCCATAAGCCAACACCAAGTACAAGAAGACCATTACAATGCGGACCAGAGTCTTCATGATCTCTCCAAACATTACCACATAAATACCAATATCTTCGAACCTAAACACATATACAGTATGCGCACACAAAATCAACTATTTTATGGACAGGGGAAACTCCAATAATGAAAGTTTACCTCTGTAGATATAGTAGGAATCCAACCCAGGAGCTCAGTAAACCTACTGCCCCGACCTGCCAGTGGAAGGATCCCTGTGCGTTTAGCATCAGGGGGATCACAAACCCCAGAGAACACACAGCAGAAAACCAGTCGATCTGATTGGAAGTATCCTTGAAGTAGCTCAAGCGCTTTAAAGACAAAAAAAACGCAGCATGATCTTCACCTTATATTAAACATAGCATGAAAAAGGAGTTTGTGAAGGTGACTTTGAGGGTCTGGCCATGGGATGATCCTGTAAATGGGAGTGGGAGAGTGCTGATCCATCACAGCTGATTGCAGTGGTGTCCATCCAGACCAGTCCTGGGGCAGATTTATGTGTATGTGCTTTATGAGAGGTAATGATATGGACATTACAGTACCTGCTGAGAGATCTGCACAACCTCTTTACAGATGGAGTAGATGTTCATGACGACCACCATCGCCATGCAGATGGACAGGAATACACTTTGCTGCAACAAATAATATTTGTTAGCAATCCAAAATTTTTACTTCTACTGTATGTGTAATGAAACATGATTGCTGTGAAAAATGAATACCACTACAGATTTACTACTAATGCTGATAATGCGGTTGCTGCAGATGTTACCAATATTATTTCTTCATGGCTTTTCCACACTAACCACACACAAACATATTTGTGCTCTTGTGGTTATTTTTTCTTAATTATTTTGTTCTCTGTTCCAACTTTCAAAACTTTATGTTACTTACAAGGTTCCCAAATGTCCATAGAGATGCATTTGCAAAAACAATTTAAAGTCTATGTGACGACACAATCCCAATCTCTTTAATGAAGTTACTTCATGGTATCCTGCATAGGTTTTATTCTGGATGCAGTCTCATTTTTAATAATCTGCTGTGGCTGTCTCTCTCTTAGAAAATGCACTTGAAGACAATGCTAACCTCATAGAAGTTAATAGGCCCCATTGTAATAACACGCTCTCCTGTCTCTGTGATGTTATATGTGGGCCTCAAAGACACTATGAGGTGGGTGAGGGGCAGTAGGCCTAATAGGTAGAAGAACATATTGAGGACATGGGCAATGCTCCCGTAGGCCACCCTGCAGGTAACAGATGAGATGAGAGACGTTCTTAATGTATGATACAAGTAATTTCAAATGTCTTAAATCTTAATTACATACCACTTCATTGCCAGGTACTTCTTACACACGGGATGGTTAAGGAGTTCAATGCGATTGTGTTTGACCATTGACTGCAGGATGAAAAGTTCTCTAGGCAATTATGCACACTTAAATTTGAATACAATTTGAATTTATCTTACATTAAGTGAGGCTAGAGGTCCAATATATGGCATTAATACTTCTGCCCTTGCTTCTATGGGCACTTGGAGCCATCTGAAATCATATTTAATCTGTAAGAGAAAGCAAGAAAATTAACATTGTTACATTGGATCTTCGACTATCTGTCCATGATGCTTTTGCTTTGTAGTTTACATGGAATTCTGGACTGTTGGGATCATGGTCGGACTCCTTCACACAGCTGTCCAGCAGGTGCTGAAGAAAAGACATTCATGTTAAAAACTACTGTCTAACACATACAATCAAGAGCATGGCCACCTTCATATTACTGTCTGCAGTTATGCACTGACGTTAAATGACTTAATACTACTGACCAATGCAGATTAGGAACACCTTGGACAGTTTTGACTCAAATATTAATCCAATGCATTGCGGTCCAATTTCCATAACAGATCAACTTTTTAGTTGATGTTATTAATAACAATTGTTGTTGTTGTTAATAAAACCCACCATTTCACCAGCTATATGATTTACTTATTTTGTGTGTGTTAAAGAATCTTGCTGGCTTGGTTTGTTGCTCTGTAACTGACCTTACAGCACTCAGGGAGGTATTCAATCATGTCCAGAACGGGGCATTGTTGTGTCCCACCTGGGATAAACATGGTCAGTGCCTCTGCACATCTGGAGCAGGACAAGTACAGAACATTAGTCTTCATTCATTCCTTTAGATCATTGGATACTTTTGAGTCTCTGCACCTGTTACTGTCGATCACTGCATTGACCACATCTTTCCTCAGATTCTGCACGGCCTCATGCATGAAAGATGTTTCGTTCTTGTTCAGAAGGATCTCAGCACCGCGGGCCAGCAACAGTTTGGTTGCGGCCACGTGACCTTCTCTGGCAGCTATGTGCAGTGCTGTGTTCTGTGATGATTAGGAATTTAGAGCAATTCTTTACACTTTAAAGACTAAAGGTGAATACAAATCTTACCCCATCTTCATCAGTTTTATCCAGAAGTTTTATATTTGCTGAGATCAGAATATCCATAGTCTGAGTATATCCTTCAGAGGCAGCGTGGTGCAGACAGCTCCAGCCCTTATAATCACTACAAAGATCATTAGCAACATTATGGCATCACAACATTACAGCATCACAAATATATTAAGATTATATTGTTCATAAGTCATAAGCATTAGGTCTTTAAGTGGAAATATTGTTTTCATACTATTTTAGAGGTAGTTTATTCCTGGCTGAGAGCTTACCAATGGAAGAGCGCCCCCTTGCGCAGCAGCAGCTGCACCACTTTGGTGTGTCCTCCGGCAGAGGCCAGGTGCAAAGGAGTGTGTCCGCGCTCGTCCCCCTCATTTAGCAGACGAGAGTCCTTAATGTTCTCCAGGATACGCTGACACGTGTTCAGACGACCGTACCTACCATGTACATCAGGGTACATTACATTATTTAACATTAACTTGTTAGAATCATCATAGATCAGCCATGCTTTTTGCCCTCAACCCACAGGGTACACAGAGATACAGTATGTGTTTGAGTGAAAGCTATCTATCTTACTATTATTAGTATTTAAACTTTACTTATGCTGGAAGTCTTTGATGAGAAAGTCAGCAGCTGCTTCTGTCACTTCTCAGGGACAAGTGTGAAAGAGGAAGTCGTCGGCCTTTATCTGCCCTCTGCCTCTGATATGGTTTGCATTATTGGAAATCAATTGTACTAATATTCACTCTCCATTAGGTTAGGATGCCATGAATTTATTGTGTTCTAGTTTTTTGAGGTCAGTCTAGGTTGAACTATAAAGTGTATGCCACATAAAAAAGTACACTGATAAACTACTTCAATTTAAAACTATTGACAGTTGTGGGTAAACATAGGGATATGGTTACTGTTGTTAGCCTTTGTGTTTTCTATATTTGTAGCTCTGACTGAATGTGTAAATTGCTATTCAGTTGAGCTTCATTGCCAAACCCATGTATAAATAAATGAAATATACTCTGTTTCTTGTGAAGCTGTTTGAACTCACTGAGCAGCAAAGTGTAAGGCTGACTTCTTGTCTTTGGACTTGTACTCCAGGCCCCTCTGTCCGGACAGACCCAGCATGTTTTTGACCGAGTCGTGGATGCCCAGTCTGCAGGCATAGTGCAGAGGTGTGCAGCCTTCATTGTCCTCGCAATTCAGCAATGACTTTACACTGCACAGCTAAAGTTAGACACAATTCATTATGCATGCTGTAATCATAATTAACTTCAGTATATATATTTTTTCAATAAATAATGCAAAATCCTAGTGTTAGGCATCATCAGCTAAAAATATAATATGTGCAACTAGACTTAATTGCTTCTTATGAGGCAATCCTTGCAATAAGGTGCTTAATTAATGTACATAATAATTTCCATAATACCTATGCATAAAAGACAAGCTAATAAAATCATGCTACTGTATTATGCAAATACACATTTCTATTCATGATCTAGTACTAAAAGAGATTATTCTAAGTACTTGGTACTAAATTAATGAAAATGTAGATAGATTATATTAATTATGATTTAACTTAACTTTCTTCCTCCATATCCATAAACCAATATCAATTGGCTGGTTACTGAGTTATGTCTGTCCAGTATGTCCAAACTTCAATAAGGAATAGGGACCAGTCTGGAACATGGGCTGCTGCTATTATTTTGGTAATCCTTATTGGTTAATTGATCTCAGTCTGGTAATGTTAGTGATTAGCTGACATCATAACAACTCATAATAACACAGTTTTTACCTGTAGGACTTCCTCTGGCAGATTCTTCAAACCTTTTGGCTGCAGAATGGCCAAATGGAGGAAATTGCATCCACGTCTGTCCATCACACTGACACAGGCCCCTGAAAATACAACATAATACATTTCATACAAACCTACATATCTTGCATGGTAATTGTGACAGGAATGTGCAGTAGTTTACCTTTTGATAGAAGCAGAGCTACAGTGCTCCATGATCCACAGCTTGTGGCCAAAAGTAAAGGAGTATTCCCCTTACAGTCCACACTGTTGAGGTCTGCACCCTGACAACAGTAGGGGGTGTTAGTCTCTATACAGATGTTAATCCTTTTATTATTACATGTTGATAATATTTAATGTTAAGTAAATAAAATTACTAAATTCCTGTCAGTAAACAGCAAATAACAATGAAATGACTCTTTTACTCTCCCTCTTAATCATTGTCAAAATCATTGTCTTTTTCCTATTGTTTGCGAATACTGAGCAGATGATCCATCTTTCCCCTAGTGACCAGTCATATTAAATACTCCACAGAGGACAACAGATGGTACAAGATCATTAACCTTTGTACCCAATATTTACCTAGATAATGTATGATTCAAAATGCTGTCTTTGGAACATGAGACAAGGTAGAAAAGTAATTTGTAATTTACCAATGAAATGAGATATTCAGCCAGCTCTGTGTGGTCAAATATTGTCGCTCTGAAAGAGTGAACAAAAGTTATTACAAAAATCCCAGAATTCTGTAAACATGTCTGTTCTATAATGTATTGCCCAGAATGCCTTTATCTACAAATTTAGGACTTGTTGTATGCCACAGGTGTCAGAACCACCAGGCACAACTTTGGGTCAACAGAGATTCTTCAAAACACATTTGGACATGTCACAATAATTCAACAATTCAAACTAACAATATTAAACCCAATGTGATACATTTTTCTATTTGCCAATTTAATTTTGCTGTGAGTATCCCAAGGCCATTTGTCATTTTGGGGACCTTAGCCTGAAAAGTTACTGCTGTGGCCTGTGAGTTCATTAGCATTCTGAACATGCAGTTAATTAGTTAAATGAATAAGCCAGTCAGGCCGGTGAAAGCAGGTAGGTAGTTGTGCACCTGTGCAGGGGTGTCTGACATGCTCCGTCTGTCAGGTTGATGATGTCTGCCACTTGATCAACCGAAGACAACATCAGTTTGACGACTTCAATGGCGCCCTGGGTACAGGCCAGATGGAGCGGCGTGGACCGGTCGTGCTATAGCAGCGGGTGCCAGGAAGGATTAGCCTGTGATTCATAATCTTACTCAAGTTTAATTTCAACTGTACTTGTTGTACTGTGGCTTTACTTTACTTATACACTAGTGGATTTTGGGTGTCTTTTGGAGTAGTAGTTTTTTCTTCACTTAACATTTGCAACTTGACTATCAGAATATATTTTTGTGCCAGTCCCAATTTCCCTGAAAAATTACTAGTGCATCATCAGTAAGTCCACTTTAGCTAAAATATCTAAAGTACCTACAACTTGGAGAACATAATCAGCTCAGACTTCAACTTCAAAATGATGGAATTAATTTATATTTGAATGGATTTACTTGAGTACAAAACCTATTAGAGCTGAAACCAAACATTTCTGAATAGCCTGAATAGCACTGTTAACTGTAACTAAAGCCTCTAATGGCGTAAGCAGGACTGGCAGGAGGACATCTGCCTTCTTTCAACTCTGTTCTGCTGTCTAATTGGAACTAATGTGTGTCAATTTAGCCCAACTAGACTTATTGCTGTACACCCTATCAGATCTATCAGATCTGTTGATGATCTGCCCTGAAGTGGCCCAGTGACTATCTAAATATGACTCCCAAGTGCACAGTAGCTCAGTAACCATATAAAGTCTGTTGGAGAAGCCAGTGAATTCAGAGTCAAATGTAAAAACTTTGGCATCATTGTCTCTAGCATCCATGTGCAAATATAAGTGACCAAGCTATAAAGAACGTTTTGACAACCAAATGAATGTCTGCTGTCCTACCGCGTGTCAATTTCAAGTTTTCCACTTGGGACAAAATAATTAGTTATGCAAGTTTAAACAAAGCAATCACCACATATCTTTCCAAAGTTTACCTGCTGCTGGTCCACTTTAGCACCAGTGGCAATGCACAGCTGAATGGTTTCCAGGTTACCCCCACGGACAGCAAGATGGAGGGGGCTACTATTACTTTTGTCTAGGTAGTTAATTTGCTTGAGAGGCCCATAACCAATCTCTTCACCTGTAAGAACAATTAGTTTTGAAAGTAAAAGTTAAGTCTATGTTAAATATAATAAAAATAAACAGCCTCCAAAGAGTATAAACTGTGAGGAGTGCCTGTAGTATTTGGGCTACATCACACGTTTCACATGTTTCTCATGCTGTCTCATTTTGTGCCATTTATCCAGGACTAGTGATCTTTAAATATCTGTGTTATTTGCATTATCAATTTGACTGTACCTGCTTTGATGATGACTTCCATGGCCTTTTTTGAACCAGCGAAGGCAGCTGCATGCACCGGGAAGTGACCCAGACGGTTCTGTTGGCACAGCCTGGCTCCATTCTTTATCTGTGACAATGGAAAATTAATAGAGACATGGACAGGCCTGTCTATGAAACAGACCAGTCTATGAAACAGCAGACCAGTCTATGAAACAGCAGACCTGTCTATGAAGAATGGTCTATTTCATAGACAGACTGGTTTGACCAATATCACTCACACAAAGTACATTTTGTATAGTTTGGTCATAGTTTCGAGGTTTGACTATTTCATACCAGGATGCTTAGGGCTTCAGCATTGTTGAGGGAGCTGGCCAGTATCAGAGGAGTGTTTCCCAGGTCTCCCTGAAGGTTGCAGTCTGTTGCACTGTATGACATAAACAACTACAACAGACAGTGAGTTGTAAATATTTTGCTCTCATGTCAAACATGTCTGGCTCGCACAGAGGTGTTTAGTCCTGCTTCAAACTAACAGCTAAATGCTGCTGGACAGATAAGCAGCTTGATAGTGCAAAATGACATCATGAGATAAGATCTTTTTATTGATGAGACAAAGTTATTATAGGGAAAGAAAACTTGTCATTTATAGACTGCATTAAATTTGTTCTAAAAGTGAAAGAGTCCTGACCTCGATGAGGGTGTTGTGTCCCTTGCTCACAGCCACATGCAGAGGAGCCAGCAGGGCTTTATTGAGAATGTTGGGGTCAGCCCCGAGGTCCATAAGGACCCTGCAGCTCTCGGCCTGGTTCTTTTCCACAGCCCAGTGGAGTGGCACATTCCCCTGCTCATCAGTGCTGTTCAGCTCTAAGACACAAGCACAGCCACATGTAAGTCCCATGGAGGGGGTGAGCTGATGTATTTATATATGGTTATAATTATATATGGTTATAATGCAGATGTTTTCCAGTAAGGTTATATGTGATGGATGGAGAGGGGCTTACGCTCAGAATCCACAGACATGATGCACTGGATGAGGGTGACGTGGCCCCCTGCAGCAGCATGATGAAGGGGACCAGCTCCAAGCTCATCTTTCTCTCGGAGGACCTCAGGGCTCTTTCTCACCTGGCTCTCAAGGATGGCCAGGTCACCCTTCTCAGCCAACTGGTATTTCATAACACCACAATTGCAACAGAGTTAGTTTAGACTTAGATATAATTTACCATGCTAAATAGTACACATATACATTAAGTATGTGAGAAAAGGTGTAGCAAAATGATGCTTTTTCTATTAATATTTTTTCCAATATGGTTCTAGTGAAAATGAGTGAAAACCCTACATTAATTTATAAAAATGTATACTGACCTCAATTATATTTAGACTTGCCAGGGTTGGTGCATCATCTTCTATCACGTAGGTGTAAGTGCTGTTCTGTCGGGCCACCTCTCTGCCAAAGTTCATCCCTCCACAGTCAGCTGTACTCTGCGTGTCAATAAAGCCAAACAAAATGACTTCACAAATTAAAAATTCAGCAGCCAATTTACAACAGTTTGAGGTCGACGATTAATGCGCTAAGCTAATCTGTCGTGTTGGGGAGTGAAGTCTCTGTGCTGGAGAAAGCAATTACGTCGCCCACAGCTGGGGGCAGTGTCCTGGATGTCCTTGGGTAATACTAGCCTGCGTGGATTGAAAAATAAATGCCCATGCAATTAGGTTGTATGGTTCTGTCACGCTGAAAGGACAAATAACATTTTGAGACCCAGAGACTTTGGTGAATTCTCTTTGGAAATCATTAAAATACAATTGTGGGCTTAGCTTTGGACAGGGACACCATCAGCGTGCCGTGTGCCATAGTCAGTCCAGCACAGTTTACATAGTGTGCACAAATCTTGTTGTGTTTGGATGAATCATGGTTTAAACTGCTTTAGAAAACTCCCAGTGACACCATTCTGCAAATACAATCTCACTACAAAACCACATAGATGCAGCTTAGGCTGAGTGTGGATGTGATGTCTTATTAAAGGTGACCGCAAGGCAAGTCCAACTGTAATTAACTACAAGCTCAATCAGTAATACTGAAAAAGAAATCCAAAAGCTGATGATCATTACTGCACCTGACGTAAGGGATAAAGTTCACCATTTCCTTAATTAGAACAATCTTTTGGCCATACGATAATGTACCATATCTCTAAGCTGACTATTCAGAAAGGCAGGCTTTGACCTTGATGTTCATGCAACTAGATCATTTATTAGCAATTTGTAAATTGTAAATCTTAATATTTGCTGTTCAAAACCACAGAACTGATTGTCTGCTGTTGGCCCTGGCTCTTCACCATATTCATCAATAGCAGCAATACTTTTTAAGAGAATAACTACACGACTGTGGGTGGGGATAAGGTATACATTACATATAGAATTTTCTGACCACCCAAGCCTCAAACGGGGGATTATTTTAACATTCAAGAATCACAAAATACAAGTTAAAAATGAGAAAACTAATATCATATGCTTAAAATCTCATAAATGTTTTAGTACTTAGTACTGGAACCACCTCCAGTTTCCAGTACTCTTTGGTGGACCTTTGGCCCAGACTTCCTCTCAGTCTTAAAACACAAAGTAAAAGTGCATTATTAAAGCCTCTTCATTGGTCTAAACACATTACAGATAATGACTGTGGTCTGTGGATTTTTTGACCATCATTTCCGAGCAGATATAAATAATTGTCACAATTTTTGTATTTGATCCAGCCACTCAGCGCTAATGGCCCAAGGCTAACCACATTTGTCTAACTGAAGAAAGGTAGGGAGCTCATTCTTAGGATACCAAATAGCAACATTAAAAAGATTTAGGTTTCTATTTTCCATAACTATTGTGCTAAATGATTAAAGAACCAAGTGAAGCTGAGACAAAACCATGACAAATAAGTCTCAACTATAAAACAAGACTGTAACAAGAGCAAAATTGGCTCAAATGACATAAAGCTTAAAATAAAAGTAACAACTGGTACTGGTAATGTGACTTACCTTTCCACAGGCCTAATCTTTAGAAATGTATTAAGTAAAATAGAATATATTTCTATTCTGTAAGGCTTATTGCAATTCACATGTTTTTACTTCATTGTAACTTTTATCCCTATAGCTTTAAAATGTTTTGTATTTAAAAATGTGTTTCAAAAGCTAACCTTTGCCTAATCTTATCCATAAACACGCACAGAGCAGAATTTATTAACTGTGGGGTACTTACTCCGGTGTGACTGATGCTGGCGTGGAGCAGAAAAACCAGGAAGTGCTCCTCTCGGTTGCTAAAAGAGCTTTAAATACTGCTCTGGTCCTGGTCTGTCCTATTGTAAGCAACACGCTGGCCCCCAGTGACCAGCCCGAGGAGTGATGAGGCAGAGAGAGTCATATCCAGCCTTTGTAACATGAGAGCAAATTTGCGCAGAAACACATTACTGTCTGCTCAACAGGATCATAGCATCTCATGTTAATGTGTGTGGGAAAATTACAGGATCTGGTTAACTTGACAATTTGATTAGATGCTCTTGGGGTAAAATTTGTATTACAGGAAAAGATTTTAAGATGGCCATTACAGGCTGATTCTTGACCAGTCAAGACTATTAAGAAGTGTTGTGTCACTGTGAAGTTGTCTGTTTGCAATTAAGTGAAAAAGGGCACAAAGTCAGATTTTGTTGTTTGTCATGGTGCCCGTTTGGTACTGTTCCTCTGGGGTTCATAATGATGGATTAACATTAGGTTTATCATTAACTAGGGATTATAGTTCAGTTATTACAGGCATTAGCCCATGTGGAATGAGATGAGAAGTGTAAGAAACAAGGATGAGCCGATTACAGCAATAAGATGAAAAGGTGGACACTGTTGTTTTTGAAGCTACTTTATTTTATAGTAAATCTAAACAAAAACAGCTTTAGCAGTGTGTTATGGTGGCAAAGTGAGTACTTTTAGCAACTGAATTATATTAGTAAAAATATATCCTCTCATGTAAAATTATACACTTTCATTTTTTTATCCTGTAAAATTTGTACACAAAATTTGCTAAATAAAATGCTTGAAAATATATGTGTTACAGCATGATACAGCCTAAATGTAGGCCACAACTTCCAGATTCAATTTATTGTTTGCATTAATTAAAAACCGGAAACCAGTTTGATTAAAAGTCTCCTTTGCTCTCAAACATCCCTATCTGTCACAATATAAGCGTCATGCCTGGTTTACAATGCACTCCTCTGCATCCAATAGCTCCTCAGCTAATATTTACCCGGTTATTGTATTCAAGCTTTATCTTTGAAATTTTAGACCCAGCATATGAAAACAAGCAGATATCATTATGGCTTCCTCTGCTGAAGCTTTGCCGACTGAGAAAATAAACATTTGAACTGGATGCCATGAAACTGAGTGACTCTAAAGGAGAGAAAAGGTTGTGCATTTCAATATATTTGTTTCTGCAGCATTATGATCTGACAAAAACAACTTTATTTGAATATTCTGTTGTGAGGGAGGGGGTTTGGTGGTGAAGCAGCCATAACGCCTGACTGCACCTGTCCAAAAGGATGGTGAGCCGTGCACCGCTGCTGAAAACGCCAAGCAGACTCTAAATTATACATGTGTGTCAATATGCAGAAGGGCAACTGCCCTCAGCGATGCAGACTTTTTCTGTCTGTAAAAACCATGATTGCTTTTTCATCTTTATTGCAGTTATGGCACATTTATGTTCAGCTCAAAAACTGTTTTCAATCAATGTATATAAGTTAAAAAACATAAAAAAAAATAACCTTATGTTTGTCAAAGAGACACATGTCGTGGGGGCATTGTACAAAGTGCATTAAGCCCTGAGCTGTCAGTCCTGAGTTAAGCATTATGTACTTCTATCATTTATGAATGATGTTACCTTTTTAGAGTCCATGAACAGTAGCGCCGATAAGAGGTTTCTTCTTCAATCTTTGCTTTCTCAAATCTAGTTAAACATGGGGCACATTTAGAATGCAAATATTTGCCAATATGACTTGTGAACACATAGTAAAAATTATTTTGCAAAGCAAAATTCATTGATTGCCCCATCATTGTAACCTGTCTTATATTTTAGCTGTTTTTTTTTTAACTCTTTTTTACTCTAGTTTTGCTGTCTTTTAGCTTTAGTGTTTTCTGTTTCAGATGTTGAACAGCCACAAAAAAACTCGGGCAACACAACTTTCACGAGTCTTCTGACAACGAGTTCCCGTCTGCCACTATTTTCTTTCCATGGTGTTAGTGCAAGAAACCTCTGTAATCATAGAGGGAATTAGTGTGTATCATGGGCACATAATTAAGAGCTCAAATGCAGCTCTTTCAGGATTTACTGGGATCTGGACTAATGCCATATTCATTTGTGTATGAAATATAATAAGGCTATGTCTTTAATAGCCACATAATGAGATGTAAAACATATCTGCTGCAGCTTTAATGACTCTCATCACAGTCAGTGGAGACAGTAATGTGGATTTGTGTGACACAGCACTAGATATAAGTAATAATAACAAAACAATACTACATTAATTATCAAATTTTCATAACTTTTCACAGACAGAACTGTTTAAACACTGTGTCTGCAGAAGGTATACCTAAAATATTAAGTATTAATACTCTTATCTGTCCATTTACAAAATGGTCAATGTTTTCAGCTTATCCCTAGTCAGAGCTTTCCCACATTCAAATAGCTTACTCTTTGACAAAGTCTTGGCCAGTGCATTCCTTGTTAAACCTAAGTAAATATAAAGAAATATTTACTAGTAGTTTAATAAAAAAAACGCAATAATTGATTTAGTATAAGTACTATTATTAGGACATCATTGGGTTATTATTAGGCTATATTTTGTTCTCAGGGTGTAATTCAATATTTATGTGCTGAATGTACACACATACATACATTTTCATACCAACTACCTAGAGCAATATAGTGAACAATGAGGTTAGGAAAAATATTAGATTTTAATTGCAGTTTACCATCAAGCTGTCAAGGGACTAGACTAATTTCATTTCTTTTCTCATGTTCATGTTTTTTGTTCATTGTCAAATAAATCAACTGAAATATTCAACTCAAATCAGTTAATTGTAACCCTTTTAAATTTTTTTCTCCACCTTTCCTCCTCGCTGATCTCTATGCCACTGTCTAGGATGTAAGTCTTGAGACTGAAGTGTATTCAGCGTTCTGCTGTGGCCCCTGGAGCACTAAATCCGTGATCCCGGTGCTGGTGATTATCTGTGTGGATTCTCTCAGGTCAAATTGGAAAAACAATCCAGCTCTGCACACTGTGCCTGAGTGCTGCTGTACAGACCTCTCCGGGCCTCACCATCTGCTCTGCTCAAACACTCGACCAGGACAGTCAAATGGGGATGAATGGAGACATACTTAAGAGAAGGCAATGTGCAATGTTCACATATGCTTCACATCACAGGGGCTGTTATATACTTTTTACATAAAGCTGTTCACAAGGAAAGAGTTCTTTATTTTTGGAATGGTGTAAGTTCTTTATCGTGCTTGAACCATTTGGTATAATTTGCATTGTAATCCATGAAAGATAATGGCATTTATCCCAAAGTAGTTTGTCTGGTTTGCTTCCTGATCCAGAAGGCTGATGTTGTGTCCATGGGCAAGACACTTAACTTCACACACACACACACACACGCACGCACACACACGCGCACACACACACACACACATACACACACACACACACACATACACACACAGATATATAGTTTTAATAATGATATGTTTGTGATTGGTAGTGGTCACAGTGGCTATTGGCACATAAGAGCTAATTAGCATATTTTTTATTTTATAGTCTGTTTGTCCTGCTGAGTTACTTAGGGCATGTAAGGACATAGAAAGATCTTAGGGCACACAGGGGGGCATAAGAAAGACTGGGAAGACTCTAATGTACTGTGCACAAACTGTGGCGCCTAACCAATTAGAGCATTAAGAGACTGTTTAAGTTGTAAACATAAGGCATAATAGACTTTAAATAAATTATAAAGTCAACAATAACAAGAATACATAGTGATAAACGGTATCTGTTTCAGGAACTATAAAGAGATATATTAATACATTATATTTATCAATATATCTTTACTATGTTAAATATACTATGATTGACTTGGTTGGAAAGTGCTGACTCAAATAGCTATACAGTTTTCTTATATATCTCAGTGAAATTATTTCTTATATATTTCACTATAGGTAAATGAGTGTCAGGCTTTAGATGAATATTCTCCTAAATATAATAAGCAGTTCCAGTCTTACAACTCTAGACTGTAGAATGCTGACTAGTGACATCTAGTGGTAGTTTAAGAACATAATTTTTCCAGACTATTAAAATAATGGACTGGAGAACAGGGCAAACGTCAATGGACTCCCAGTTGAAGATCCTGCAGACTGCAGCCTGCATGGAGCAGTTTTGCCTTGCATATAAAATAAGAGCTATCTGTCACAAAGCATGTCTTTATTTTAAGGATCTGATGAATATGACATTTTAGATCATTTTTTAATCATAGTTTTAAGCATATTAATTCTGTATCTACTGAGCGCATCCAGGTTTAGTCTCCTGCCTTTTGCCTGAGTGTGCGTGACCCTGTTATCTGATCCTGAGTCACTTGCACTGTCCCATTCACACAAAGCTTTTTAACCCTGATGCCGGGTGTTAGAGCTCTGCTGACCTGTCAACGCAAAGCATTGACCAATATGCACAGAAAACTATCAACCTGGTTAAATATTTATGAATAAAAACTGACATACATACTTTGGTTATTCTTATGTAGCATTAGTTTACTTCAGTTTGTTAATTTATCAGGGACAATGCACATAAAAAGTGTTGACCACACAAAAGAGGTAATATCTTTATGTCAGGTTTATAGCAAAAAATACAAATTTCCAACTGTAATTCCTGGACAGTTTTTGTGGACTGGCTGGTTGATGGATGGGTCAGGACTAGCCCTTTTCACCAGTCACCAGTCTTCTAGACTTTGGTAATGAGATGCTGGTTCACACATTGATGGCAGCTGCGAACATACTCACACCAAGATGTCTGTCATCATAAGTTATTCCCAAGGTCAACAGAAAGACCTACAAAATAAACAATAAACAAATCTTCGGTTCTGTGTCTCTTTCAGATGTGAACAGTCATGGTGAATAAGACCATTGTTAGAATAGCTCATATGATTGAGCTAATGACCATGACACCACCTTGTGGAGAAAACACTGTACTATGGTGCTCCAGAGGACATAAACTGTTGATATGCTAATTT